TGTAGTTTTTCTATTTAGCATTTCTATTTGATCTTTAAACAAACAGTGTTGCATCTGTCAAATCATTGCCCAGCTTCAAGTGTTACTAATGTAAAAAAAAATGTAATTAGAATAACACACGTTATACTTACCTGCTCTGTGCAGTAGTATTGCACAGAACGAACCCGATCCTCCTCTTCTCGGGTCCCTCACTTGTGATCTTGGCTCCTCCACTTCTTCGTGTGTCCCCATAGCAACCTGTTTGTTATGGAGGCCCATAGTCTCTGTGCACTCCCGAGCTGTGTATCTATAGAGCCACACGCTCCATAGACTTAGCCCCGCCTCCCACATCCTCCTCACTGCATTTGACCTTGACAGGTAAAGGGGAGGCAGAGAAATAGAAAACATTTTTTACCTTAATGCAGGGAATGCATTAATGAGGAGCTCCACCCAAAAGGGGAAGGTCCGCTTTAAGGCTTTGTCCCCCTCTCCCCATTAAGGATTGGCACCTTTGGGGAGCGGGTACCTGAATTTGTCAGGTAACCGCTCCCACTTCCGCTGCGATCGCCTAGGTGATTGGAAGCAGAAGTTGTCCTCCCCCTCTCTCCCCATAGTCTTCTGGGACACGTCACAGGTCCCAGAAGACTCTGGGGCCATTCACAAAGAGCAGCACTTCTCGCGCATGCGCAGCGGGCACCTGGCTGTGAAGCCGCAAGCTGTCACAGCCGGGTGCCCACACTGGAGATGCCGGCACCGGGGAGAGAAGACGGCCAGTGAAACCAGCCATGATGAGGACATCGCTGGACCAAGGGACAGGTAAGTGGCTGTATTATATAAAAGTCAGCAGCTACAGTTTTTGTAGCTGCTGACTTTTTTTTTCAAGCTAGAACGTTGCTTTATGGTAGAAAAACGTTTTTAGCTTTAGCATCGCTTTAAAAATTGATTGAATTGTAGAGGTCAATCGTTAGCTGTCCATACCAGACAAATTTCGATCCATGTATGGGCACCCTGGTTATACACAAGTTGACCCATTGATAGGCTTGTGTACAATCAGCTTGTTGGGTTTTAAGGATTAGTGCCGGAAAGGAGCACAATAGCTGGCAGAACACAATAGCGCTTGTGTGAGGAATCCCCCATCACCACTGACTGTGAATCGAGCAATTATATTTCCTTCCACCCATGGTGGAGAGAATTGGGTAATATATGGCCTGCTACACTCATGGGTTGCAGAATGTCCAGTTTTTGGTGATTACCTGCCATCATATATGCAATGCCCAGTAGCTCTAAAGTGGTTGTAATTTCCTGAAAATTGTTGTATGTTTTCTTGGAATTCCACTCTAGTCCATTCCTGACACGACTGACCATGTAAACGCAATTAAATATTAAATCAATGTTTTGACTGCAGCTTTTACGGTGTTTATTTAAGCAGATAACATAAGAGAAGTATAATAAAAAGGACAAGGTTGTCCTAACAGACTTTGCTGCAGTACAATACCTCCATCAAAGCATAAACACTCCTCTGTATTTAACCCATTGGAATCCAGTATTATAAGGTATCTAAACCCCAAAACTAAACATAATATATTGCAGCAACTTAGATTTGGTGGGCATTTTTCCTTAAAGTGGTTGTAAAGCTAGATTTCTTAACCTTCATGCATTAAGGTAATAAAACCTTCTGTGGTCTGCACTCCACCAGCACCCCCACCCCCTTATACTTAACAGAGCCCAATCTCGATCCAGCGCTGTGCTTGAGAGCAGCCTCCTCATTGGCTCAGAGACTGCAGCGAGAGCCCTTGGTTCCTACTGCTGTCAATCACAGCCAGTGAGAAGAGGCAGGGTGGGCCGAGCCACACTTTGTGTTTGAATGGACACACAGAGCAGGGGTCATGAGCGAGCATGCACAAGTGCCCCCATAGAAAGCGGCTGCTGTGGGGGCACTTATCAAGGGGGAGGAGCACAGAGCACAAGCAAGGGACCTGAGAAGAGGAGGATCAGGGATGCTCTGTGCAAAACCATTGCACAGAGCAGATAAGTATAACAACTTTGTTATTCTAAGGAAAAAAAATAAAGCTCTACAATCACTTTAATTTTCACTTGCTGATCCTGCAAATTACACACTTCCAGTTCTAGGGTGACAACTATGGATGAGCTCAGGCATGTTCATATCCTAGTGTGACCCTACCCCCTTATGCCAGGAAGCTGTCACATGTATTGGGCCAATCATCATCTGAGGCATTACCGACCATGCAGTCACAGGCATTCAAGGAGTATATACAGAAGTATTTGAACACCTTGCGATTTTGCAAGTACTCCCACTTAGAAATCATGGAGGGGTGAAATTCACATTGTAGGTGCATTCCCACTCTGAGAGACAGAATTAAAAAAAAAAATTCAGGAAATCACATTGTATGATTTTTAAAGAATTTATTTGTCTTGCACTGCTGAACATAAGTATTTGAACACCTAAGAAACAGCAAGAATTCTGGCTCTCAAAGACCTGTTACTGTGTCTTTAAAAAGTCCACCTCTACTCCACTCATTAATCTAACTTAGTAACACCTGTCTGAGCTCTTTATAGACACCTGTCAACCCCACAGTCAGTCAGACGCCAACTACTACCATGGGCAAGACCAAAGAGCTGTCAAAAGACACCAGAGACAAAATTGTGGACCTCCACAAGGCTGAAAAGGGCTACAGGCAATTGCCAAGCAGCTTGGTGAAAATAGATCAACTGTTGGAGCAATTGTTAGAAAATGGAAGAGGCTAAAGACGACTGTCAGTCTCCCTCGGACTGGGGCTCCATGCAAGATCTCACCTCGTGGGGTATCACTGAGGATAAGAAAGGTGAGGAATCAGCCCAGAACTACAAGGGAGGAGCTGGTCAATGACATGAAGAGAGCTGGGACCACAGTTTCAAAGGTCACTGTCGGTAGAACACTACGCCGTCATGGTTTCAAATCATGCATTGCACGGAAGGTTCCCCTGCTCACGTCATCACATGTCCAGGCCCATCTGAAGTTTGCCAATGACCATCTGGATGATCCAGAGGAGGCATGGGAGAAAGCCATGTGGTTAGATGAGACCAAAGCAGAACTTTTTGGTCTAAACTTCACTCGTCATGTTTGGAGGAAAAAGAAGGATGAGTTGCATCCCAAGAACACCATCCCTACTGTGAAGCATGGGGGTGGTAACATCATGCTTTGGGGGTGCTTTTCTGCGAAGGGTACAGGACGACTGCACTGTATTAAGGAGAGGATGAATGGGGCCATTTATTGTGAGATTTTGAACAACAACCTTCTTCTCTCAGTCAGAGCATTGAAGATGGGTTGTGGCTGGGTCTTCCAACATGACAACGACCAGAAGCACACAGCCAGGATAACCAAGGAGTGGTTCCGTAAGAAGCATATCAAGGTTCTGGAGTGGCCTAGCCAGTCTCCAGACCTAAATCCAATAGAACATCTTTGGAGGGAGCTGAAACTCCGTGTTGCTCAGCGACAGCCCCGAAACCTGACAGATCTACAGGAGATCTGTGTGGAGGAATGGGCCAAAATCCCTGTTGCAGTGTGTGCAAACCTGGTCAAGAACTACAGGAAATGTTTGACCTCTGTAATTGCAAACAAAGGCTTCTGTACCAAATATTAACAGTGATTTTCTCAGGTGTTCAAATACTTATGTTCAGCAGTGCAAGACAAATAAATTCTTTAAAAATCATACAATGTGATTTCCTGGATTTTATTTTTAAATTCTGTCTCTCAGAGTGGGAATGCACCTGCAATGTGAATTTCAGACCCCTCCATGATTTCTAAGTGGGAGAACTTGCAAAAATCGCAGGGTGTTTAACTACTTCTGTTCCTCACTGTATATCTGCAGTTGAAGTTATAGGAAATGCCATAACCACTTCTGAGTGTCCAGTACAGGTGATGTCGTCCAGCCAGAATCACTCCGTAGGGTTCAGGCTAGGATCCAAACATGCCTCAGCTCATTACTAGTCACAACACTCACTCCACTGTATCTATGGAGGAATAATATTGCTGACCTAAGCTGTTCTCCTAATTTGGCCTACAAACACCTCCTACATAGGGAGGAAGTATTTTATATTTCAGAGAATATAGCTGGGAAAGACCCCAAAATCTGTCCAACTATTGCCTACTCTGCCTTTAGGTGATCCCTGACAACCCATCTCTTCAGGGAGGAATATCCTGCCTCTACCTAATAAACTGTACTCTTACACTGGCCATACACTGATCGAAAGTTGTCCAGTTCAGTGCTTGACTGTCCCTGATCCACAGAAGTTGATCAGTTTCTGTTGAGGGAGAATGTTGGAAAACATTTCTCAATCAGTGGTTGTAGCCACTGATCAGCGTATACTGCTGCAGGTGTTGCTGCCAGAACGTCCCAGTGGCGGGGGATTCCTTTATGCACCTCATTTGTGTGGGTGGAAGAATCTGTTAAGCAGGCCATGGATGAGTCTTTTTTTTTTTTTTCAACCAGGTGAAAGAAAAAAACAAAAACTGACTTGATTCCCCCATCCACACACTCAATGTGGCTAAGGGGATCCTCCATGCTGAGTCTTTGTATCCTGACAATGGGGAGACTTCCCCCTTCAAGTATTTGGGCGTTCATTGATTCCATTCCATTGATCCAATTTATTCTGGCTATTGGAATGAATGATTGCTCAAGCACTAAATGTGTTTAGACAAGTTCAACATTTTCTCTGCCCAAAAGCTCCATTCCTGAACACACTGGTTCAGCCTTTAAACGTTCTCCTTCTAATATGCCTGTGAATGCCTATGGGGGTAATTTACTAAAACTGGAGAGTTCAAAATCTGGTGAAGCTGTGCATGGTAGCCAATCAGCTTCTAACTTCAGCTTTTTCGATTAAGCTTTGACAAAAAAAAAAAACTGGAAGCTGATTGGCTTCTGTAGAGAGCTGCACCAGTTTTTGCACTCTCCAGTTTTAGTAACTCAACCCCTCAGTGTGCATGGGTACATAAGGAGAGATTTACTAAAACTGGTGCATGCATGGCAGCCAATCAGCTTCTAACTTCAGCTTTTTCAATTAAGCTTTGACAATAAAACCTGGAAGCTGATTGGTTTCTATGTAGAGCTGCACCAGATTTTGCACTCTCCAGTTTTAGTAAATCTCTCCCATAGGCTAATATAGAGATGTGTTTACAAGCTGAAAAATAAATCAAATGCCTGTAAAAGTGGCATTTGTTATGCCCTATGTGCATTATCCCTCATTCATCCCTCAATCTCCAAACAAGGAAAGGTTTCTTCACAGTAAGAGCTGTGAAAATGTGGAAAAGACTCCCTGAAGAGTTGTTTCTGGCCAGCTCAGTGGATTGCTTTAAAAAAGGCCTGGAATCTTTCTTGGATACACAGAATATAACTGGTTACTAACATTTATAGGTAAAGTTGATCCAGGGAATATCCTCTTGGGGGATCAGGGAAGAATTTTTCCCCCTGCAGGAGCAAATTGGATTATGCTTTGCTTGGATTTTTGCCTTCCTCTAGATCAACTGTGGGTATAGGAATATAACTTTTTTTTTTTTTTTTTTTTTTAATGGTTGAACTGGATGGACTTTTGTCTTTTTTCAACCAGGCTTTTTATTTATTTAATGGTTGAACTGAATGGACTTTTATCTTTTTTCAGCCAGACTAACTATGTAACTATAACTATGTATTGAATTGTATTGTGAGCATACTGCCTCCCTTTATTTTGCAAGCAAACTGCTGGTGCTTTATAAATCCAATGATAATAATATAATAATGAAACAACAAAGAGATGCAGATATATCAAATGAGTCATGTGAGCATCAACTTGAGTCATATGTGTCAAGCTGAAAACATTTTTCTCTTTGTCGGTTCATGTATCAAATGCATGTATCTTATTGTAGGTTCACATTTCCTGAAGAAGAGGCCAGTGTGCCTCGAAAGCTTGCACTCCAATCTAGTTAGCCAGTAAGTAGTATCCCTCTAGATCCAAACATCTACTTTTGTCGATGGCTAACCCAGTACAACACTCTACTGCTGTCAGAGCCCATTATAAAAGCAAATCCAGCTGCTGAGTCTTGAACCTTAAAATCTGACACATTATAACGTAAATGAATGATTACGATCATCCTGCTAACAGGGCTTTGCCTCTGGTCGATGTTCTGCATGCAGTCATTTCAGCAATACGCCACTGCTGTAACGAAGCAGAATGACTGGATTTTAGCCAGCTGCGGGAGCGAAGGGGTTAACGGCGAAAGCTTTGCCTGCGTTTTCCCACGGCTGTCCCTGGGACTCCACCCACAGCCTGCATTGTTACGTCACAGACAGGAGAGAGGAGAGCGACCCACAGCCTGACAGAATGGAGTGTTGTGCGCCTGCGTGCCATGACTTGCGCTGCAGCAATCAAGCCCACGTCACTCGGTCAGGTTGTAGTGCTGCAGTGAAATAAAGCCGGAGAGCCAGTGCTGCAGTATGTGCCGATCACAGCTTCCATCATAGAGGAATATGCTGTATGAAGGAAAATCAGGCATGTTAGGCTGGAAAATCTGATACACAAAGCATATATGAGCCTAGTAAAAGGTGACCCAGTCTGTGCCGGTACAAAATGATCAGACTGCGGTTGTCAGAAGCATTTCATTATCTGAGCACGGTGTCCTGTGAGAAACGTGGAGCTATTGTGTATACAGTATTATACAAGGAAAGGCTGCATTGTGCAATACCCTGCCCCCCCCCCCCCCCCTCAGTGCAGGACAAAGAACAGTCTGCAGGGACAAACAGGACGGGTCATAGTGCTACAGCATCAAATGGCCTGATGGGCTGTGACTGTGTGTGATTGGGCCCCCTAACAAAACTATGAGCTACGGGTTAGATCTACACTATATTGCCAAAAGTATTGGGACACCCCTCCAAATCATTGGACTCAGGTGTTCCAATCACCTCCATGGCCACAGATGTATAAAATCAAGCCCCTAGGCATGCAGACTGCTTCTACAAACATTTGTGAAAGAATGGGTCGCTGTCAGGAGCTCTGTGATTTCAAGCGTGGTACCGTGATAGGTTGCCACCTATGCAATAAGTCCATCCATGAAATTCCCTTAATAGGTCAGTGGTATTATAACAAAGTGGAAGCAAATGGGAACAACATCAACTTAGCCATGAAGTGGTAGGCCACATAAAATGACAGAGTGGGGTCAGCGCATGCTGAAGTGCACAGTGCGCAGAAGTTGCCAATTGTCTGCAATAGCTATAGACCTCCAAACTTTGGGTGGCCTTCAGATTAACACAACAGTGTGTAGAGAGCTTCATGGAATGGATTTCCATGGCTGAGCAGCTGCATCCAAGCCTTACATAACCAAGTGCAATGCAAAGCGTCAGATGCAGTGGTGTAAAGCACGTCACCACTGGACTCTAGAGCAGTGGAGACGTGTTCTCTGGAGTGGCGAATCACGCTTCTCTGTCTGGCAATTCGATGAACATGTCTTGGTTTGGCAGTTGCCAGGAGAACGGTACTTGTCTGACTGCATTGCGCCAAGTGTAAAGTTTGGTGGAGGGGGGATTATGGTGTGGGGTTGTGTTTCAGGGGTTGGGCTTAGCCCCTTAGTTCCAGTGAAGGGAACTCTTAAGGCATCAGCATACCAAGATATTTTGGACAATTTCATGCTCCCAACTTTATGGGAACAGTTTGGGGATGGCCCCTTCCTGCTCCAACATGACTGCGCACCAGTGCACAAAGCAAGGTCCATAAAGACATGGATGAGCGAGTTTGGGATGGAGGAACTTGACTGGCCTGCACAGAGTCCTGACCTCAACCTGATAGAACACCTTTGAGATGAATTAGAGTTGAGACTGCGAGCCAGACCTTCTCATCCAACATCAGTGCCTGACCTCAAAAATGTGCTTCTGGAAGAATGGTCAAACATTCCCATAGACACACTCCTAAACCTTGTGGACGGCCTTCCCAGAAGAGTTGAAGCTGTTATAGCTGCAAAGGGTGGGCCAACTCAATATTGAACCCTACGGACTAAGACTGGGATGCCATTAACGTTCATGTGCGTGTAAAGGCAGGTGACCTAATACTTTTGGCAATATAGTGTATACCTGTGCCTAGAGGTGCATTATTTTGTAGCATTCCTTGTGCACTGGCACACATTTTGAAGACACTATTTAATTTAGAATTTGGCGTGGATAAGGTTAAAGCGGAACTAAAGTCTGCAATGCTGACCTCCCCTTCAATGGTCCAAGATCCCTTGCCAGCAATACCAACTTCTACCTAGTGTCTTCCAGGTTGCCATCTTTATTGGCCGGCGCCAGATGATGTCACTCTGTTGCATGTATAAGAGTATACTCATCCTGGCACACAAGATCTGTGCTGGTATGTACACTGAGCTGCACATGCGCAGCTCAGTGTACATTCTAAACAAGACTGCGAGTAGGCGGGTAGGCTTATTGCAGAAAAGACATGACAATAAAGAGTCTGCCTGATTGCAGTTTACTCATTTAAGACTATAATTCTGCCATTGGGAAAGGCTTTTTAACCCCTTCCCACCTGCCTGCCCAGGCCTTTAAACAGTTTTGAATACTTGCGGGGGGGGGGGGGGGGCAGGAAGGATCAACAATCATGTTACCACTGTCACGTGACCACGTGATTGGAAGTTGGTCCCAGTGGGCGGTCATAAAGGGGTTGCCATCACATTAACATCATGTTATATGTGTTTTGAAGTACTGTTATTATATTAATAACATACTATATTAACATATTATATTATATACAGACATATATTAAAAAAAAAGGCACTGCAGTGCTGAGATGGGAACATACGCTCGATTTATTATGCTGAACTGCCTGTGTGTTAGCATATTGGAACGTGTGTGTTAAAGCACAACAGTATACGTCTTTAAAAAATGTTAGTGACGGTTACAGCGCATGCTTACTGATCTTTACATATTGTATGCATGGGCCCAGAGAAAACAATGCAGCTGCATGCAGAACAGAAAATAAAATCTGAATGCACAAAGATTTTTTCACGTCCATGTGCATATGCCCCCAGAAACCTGTGTCCTGCATACAGGGCTGTGGATAAGGGGGGACCACCAGTCCTCCTGTACGGGGCCCAGGCAGCTGAGTGGATCAGATGTGAGCAGGAAGGGTGATTGGCACAGTGGGGGGGCAATTACTGGAACTGATCCCTGTATGGCTCTCTTTAAAACAGTTGAAAGCTGGCTTCTTCTCCTCTCCCTCCCGCTGGCTTTCAGCTGCTGCAGGGAGAGACATACAGGAGATCGTTTCCAGTAATTGCCTCCCCGCCGCACCCTTCACCCTCCTTTTGCACCATGTTTACCCCTGTTCCCCTGGCCCCCCTGTGTGCCCTCACCCCCTAAGTGCTGCCGTATTCCCTCCTTTCCTTCCCACTGGCAGCTACAAGCACAAAATAGGATCCTCCAGGATGGAGAGTGGGGGAAGGGTCAGGTAAATATATCACATTTCCCAGCCCCTTCCATTTCTACTGAAAATGAACAGAATGTGTGATCGGTACCAATCACTCACTGTGTTCATTCATAACTGAGTCATCGTAAACTGTGTTTTCTTTGGGGGGGGGGGGGGGCCTGTCAGGTTGGCTTTATGGGGTCCCTTGGTTCCTAACAGCAGCCCTGCCTGCGTAAGTATGTTTTAGGATGCATGCATGTAACCCTTGAGTCCTAGGAATAGAGGGCCATTACACTGTAATGCTGTATGCATGCAAACCTTGCTTATGAGGACAGCTATATAGCTGGCACTGAGGATCTTGCTGGCAGCAACTTCCTGCATACTAGCTATATAGCTGCATTTTTACTTTTTTTAAGCCACCTGGAAGAGAAACACAAAAGTGTGAACGGACCCCATAGAAACCAACGGTAATCCTCGCCATGGATTGTTGCATATTGGCCTTTCAAACCTGCGCATTTTTGCGTGTATTTTGCACCTAACCCTACAGAGGACAATGATCAGCTCAGGCTGTTCAAATCTCTATGCTTGGTTGCTCAAAAAGTTACATGAACTTTTTTTTTAGCGTTTTGTGACACATTTTTTGGTTCTATAGACTTCAATGGAAGCCCCGTCATTGCATAACACAAGTGTTAATGTGTGGCTTTGCATGCATTTTTGCGCCTAAACAACTATTCTTCCTACCTAGGCGCTCGCATACATGTGCACAAATCCTACAAAACACAGTCCTCAATCACACCTATGTGGTTTTACATGCATTGACTGGTGAGTTACAATGCATGACAAGCAGATCACCATTATATTTTAACCTCCCTGGAGGTATTCCTGAGTGTAGCTCGGGGTAAAGTTTCAGTACCACAAAGCGGTAACCCCGAGCTACACTTGGGTTTACCATGCGGCTCTGCTCCGGGATCTGTTCTTCTCTTACCTTGTCCTGCGCTCTCCCGCGATGTCCCCCCTGCAGTGTCCCCTGTAATGTCCTCCGGCGGATGCCGGCATCTGTCATCTGGGTTCCGTCCCCTGCGAGTGTCGGGACGTACGGGGGACGGAATGGCGGGAAATTTGAAAATTACAAAAAGTGACATTCAGTAAATTCACTAAAATCACATAGTAAAACATTACTGTATCAACCCATTTCACATACATTTTGTCCCGAGTGCTTTGTCCTGTCCCGTCTGCATTTTTACCGTTCTTTCTGCCTGGAAACTTAGAAAAGTCCATGGCGTACAAAAAGCGTCCCTTTATGTCAAAAGCGGGTTTAGACCGGCTAGAGAACAGCGATAGTAAATCAGAACCACTTGCAGAATTGAGTGATAATGATTCGTGGGGAAATTTGTCATCAGACACTGAAAACGATTTTGCGACTTTGCTCAGCAATGTACGAACTTGGCGCTATATTTCAAATTTCAGTGTTTTTGGTTTGATTATATTATTGAATTAGATTTTATTATTCTATTATTTTTTATGATTATTTATTAAATTATAATTTATGGTTTCGTGTTTCAAATTGTAACATACCCGGGATGTTTACTAGACTCTTGTTCGGACAGATTTCGGTGAGTTATTCCTAAAAATTACAGGCCTACAATAAAAAAAATACATATTTCCACGCAAAAAAATGTACCGCTTTTGAGCATAGAAATATGGACATAATCAGACCGCTAGGGAGGTTAAGGAGCCTATTCATACCAAATGTCTGGATGTGAGTGTAATAATGCATGTGTGTGGCTCTTTAACCCCCATCTGTTTTCAGCTTGCTTCCCTAAGCCTGAATACATTCAACATTCAGAATCCCATTCTTTCCAATTGTTCCCATTCAAACATGTATCCTCAGTCCCCCTAGGCTCAAAAAAGTACAAGAGTTTTTTGTTTCTTTTAGTGTACTTGGGCATTTTTGGCCCAGTAGACTTTATTGGGGGAGCCTGTAAATGCGCAATCCTATGGGTGTTTTTGCACCTCCTATTCACGCTTTCCCTATGCCTGGCTACATTCAAAAATTTGAATCCCCTTCTAATTGTCCCTGCTCACATTTGTATGCACAGTTGCATGACGCTCTACACCCTATGCTCAAAAAAGTATGTGAACATTTATTGAGCGTATTCAGGCATTTTTTTGCCCATAGACTTCGATAGGAGTGCTTGTCCATGTGCATTTTCGCAGCCCCCAATCACACTTGAGCATTTTTCAGCTTGTTTCCCTACACTTTATGCTCAACATGCAGAATCCCATTCTTTCTAATTGTCCTTCCTCACACTTGTCTGCTCAATTACCCTACACTCAAAAAACTACAATCATCATTTTTTTTTTTTAGCTAAGGCTGACCATACACTATACAATTTTCTGTTCAATTTCTGCCCAATTTCTTTTAGATTTACCTTCAACTATGTATTGCAAGGGCCTGTCTAACTGGATTCAATTGAGAGTGTTTTTTAGGTTTGGGCTCATATTATATGGTTTTCTAAAGCAAAATTCTCAAGAAAATTGTATAATGTGGGCAGCACAGTGGCTAAATGGTTAGCACTTCCACCTGGCAGCACTAGGGTCACTGGTTCAAATCCCAGCCTCGGCACCACCTGCCTGGAGTTTGCATGTTCTCCCTGTGCCTGCATGGGTTTCCTCTGGGTACCCCAGTTTCCTCCCACGCTCCAAAGACATGCTGGTAGGTTAATTGGATCCTGTCTAAATTAGCCCTAGTATGTGTATGTATGAATGTAAGCTAGGGACCTTAGGATTGTACACCCCTTGAGGGTTAGGGACTGATGTGAATGTACAATATATATGTAAAGCACTGAGTAAATTGACAGCACTATAGAAGTACCTAAAATAATGTATGGCCAGCCTTATTCAGATGTTTTTTGCCCCATGGATTCTAAGTGTGCCTGTAAATGTATAATATGTGCTTTTTTTTTGTACCTTTTAGCCACCATTCAAACTTTCCTTACATCTGACTACACTCAGCATACAGACTCCCATTCTTTCTAATTGTCCCTGTTCACACTTGTAAGGACAGTCACCCTACGCCCAAAAAAGTACCTGAGCTTTTTTGGGTGTATTCAGGTGTCTTGGGCCCCATAGATGTCAATGGTAGTGACTATAAAATGCACACCATTAGGCTACATTCACACCTGAGCAGAGCAATTTTCAGGCTTCTTTTATTTGAGCATATTTGCTAGGATATATAGTTTTTCAGAAGCATACTACAAGCAATTTCCATGTGTATTCAAGCTTTAGATGTCTTTCCAGCGAAGTCTATGGGGCCAAAAATATCCAGATCTGTCTCAAAAGTACAAAAAAGAGTTTGGCGTCTCAACAAAGTACTCATTTTCTTCTTATAAAGCTATTAACCACTTGCCCTCCTGGGGATTTAGCCCCCTTCCTGACCAGGCTATTTTTTTGAGTTACGGCGATGCGTTACTTTAACTGACAATTGCGCAGTCATGCAACGCTGTACATAAATTAAATTTACGTCCTTTTTTTCCCACAAATGGAACTTTCTTTCGGTGGTATTTGATCACCTGTGCATTTTTTATTTTTTGCGCTATAAACAAAAAAAGACCGAAATTTTGAAAAAAAAACAATATTTTTGACTTTTTATTATAAAATGTATCCAGTAAAAAAATTTAAAAACTAAAAATTCCTTTATAAATTTAGGCCAAAATGTGTTCTGCTACATGTCCTGGCTAAAAAAAAAAAAATCTCAATACGTGTAAATTAATTGGTTTACGTGAAAGTTATAGCATTTACAAATGGTGGTATATATACTGGAATTTTTTTTTACTGGTAATGACAGCGATCAGCAACTTATTGCAGGACTGCGGTGGGCATTCTGACACTGGGGGGAACTAACTGCCACCCCCAGTGACACTAATACAGTGATCAGTGCTAATAAAAAGCACTGACACTGTACTATTGGCACTGGACAGAAAGGGGTTAACATCAAAGGGTTAACTGTGTGCCGTTTCATATTATGTGCTGTGTGATTTACTAGGGAGACATGCTGCTTTGTATCGCTCTGCTGTGCAGAGCGATACATAGCAGCCTGCTCGTGTTGACAGGGGAGAGACCTGTGTTGTTTACATACAGACCTTTCCCCTGTCAGCTCCGCCAATGATCACCAAGTCCCGGTGATTGACAAGCCGAGGAGCCAATAGCGGCGCGGGTAGGTAGTGCGCAGGCATGCCCCCTAATCGGAAAAACAAAATCACATATATATACGTGATTTTGCGCATCCCTACCGCTCTCTAGCAGTACTTCTACTATAGGGCGTTCGGGAAGCGGTTAAACCCAAAAGCAAACATTATATTGCAATTTACCAATTCTTAGATGTGATGGCTGCATTAGTTTTCTTTTTAGTTCAGGTAAGAATGGGGCCTAAGGCCTTGCTCACACGGACATTTTTCAGTAGGGCACGTAGGTACCTACCGGTGGAAAAGATGCCTTAAGACAAGTTATGGCACGTTTTATATCTGTTGAATTAAAGTGCTCATTCACGCGGACAGAAAAAATCCTAATTTTTCCTCCTAATTCTATTAGCATGCCGCATGCACTGGAAATCGCTCCCACACTGTGAATTGCACTGCACCTGCGAGTCCTGTGCTGGCCACGATTTCCAAAATGCTGCAGGAACCTTTTCCATGTGTTTCAGGAGGCATGGCAGCCCATTCAAATAAATGGGCTGCCGTGGCCACGCAGAATGCCGCTAGCCTAGTCTAAGAGGGTAGGTGCTGTACGTGTGGCTTGCGTGATCTGCCAAAATGCGATTTTTAGTAATGATACAATATATCAGTCCAGAGTAAAAACTTTGAGGCCCTGTTCACATCTAGCGTTTTAGGATCTCTGTGATTCTGCGTGCGATCTCAACACGCACTGAAAAGAGTGGCAGAATGCAGCACGTATTCAGGCACCATTCATTTTCAATGGTACCTAAATGAGGTGCTGTTCTGCGGCATGATCAATCGCGGCAAACCGCATTGCGTGAAGCTTGTTGCCTTAAAGAAGCCCCTGCTCCTTTTTGTGCGACAAGCTTTACGTGATGCGGTTTGCTGTGACTGCAGTGCAACAATTGCGGCAGAACCACACCTTGTTTAGGTGCCATTAAAAATGAATGCTATCTGAACACGCGTGCTGTTTTTTCACTATTGCAATGTGTTTTGAGATCGCAGGCGGAATCGCAGCAATTATGAGATCCCAAAACGCCTGATGTGAATGGGGCTTTACAGATGATGGCCCGCAAAATATTACTTCCCAAGATCCATTTAATAAAAGAAAGTTATTTATTATTATATATTTTACATTTTTATTTTTTACAGAATTTTTTTTCTTGGTTCTTATTCATTTTTTTTTGTAGAGTGTTCCCCTTCCGTCAAGGGGTATATGGCAGGTGTCCCTTTATCAGCCCTGGTTTACACTGTGTGGGAATCGCATCTATTCCCGCACCTGCTGCCAAATCGTGCTGCTCATGCGTAATGCTGACCTTCATTCTGAATTTCCCCTTCGCGCATCACAACCTGAAGTGCATTCGCATCAAAAAAACATGCAATTTCCCTACGGCTACATTTTTAAAAAAGTGCATGCACTTTTTTTTTTTGCAAAAAAAAAAAAAAACGCAAAATGAATAGGCTGCTGTGCCCGTGCAAATGCAGACTGAAGAAGTGTGAACCAGGGCTAAATCCGGCACTGCCCCTCGCCCTCTTGTGTTCTAAGTCCCCAGTCACACTGGGTGCGACTTGGCATGTGAATGGAAGCCATACGACTTGCAAATCGCATGGCAAGTCGCACCTATTGTCTGCAATTACAGTGGTCATATTGGTGTGGTTCTGACTTGGTTGGAGTCGCACTGATTTCTAAAGTAGTGCATGCACTGCTTTTGGTGCGATTTGCATAGACATCTGAGTCTGATGTCACGCAAATCGCACCTCAAAGTGGCATGTGCAGCACAGTGCCTAAATGGTTAGCACTTCCTCCTGGCAGTACTATGGTTGTTGGTTCAAATCCCAACCACAGCACCACCTGTCTGATCCCAACCACAGCACCACCTGTCTGATCCCAACCACAGCACCACCTGTCTGATCCCAACCACAGCACCGCCTGTCTGGAGTTTG